TGCTACGAGCCACCTGGCGTAACGAGAGACTGGCCAATTCCGAGGCACGGAAGAGGCAAGGAGAACCGATCTGAGCGGCTAAAGCCATCTTTAACGTAAGCTCATCGAGCGCTTGCATAATTTGGCGTGCCGCGGGCTCCCGCCAACGAATCTGGCCATCCGGTAAAAGGTACGAAATTATCCGGACAGTTATGGATCAGCCAGAGAATATATCGCCGGCTAACATCATCGGAGCTGCAAAGATGATTGTCGGGGAGGTCTAAGGCGCAAAACCCAATAGAAACATTAGAATGCGGATCGAGGAGGACGCGATCACGAAAGAAATCGGCAGAGAGGTCGGCGGGAATAGGTTTGCGGTAAAAGAGGCGATTGCAAATAATATCGGATATGTCCTCCAAAAGAGCATCGTAGGGCCTGCGTATAACGTCGAGAGAAACTGATTTGCCACCCCAGTCGATCAAGGTATGGTCAGCATTGAGCCAGCGTCCAATGAATGGCGTAGTTTCAGTGTTGGCGATGACTCGGAGAAGGACGAAAGTCTGGAAAAGGCCAGACAAAGGGGAAGGGAAAGCACTAAGGTGGTACTTCTTGAAGTGCTCGTGGACTTCGGGAAAAGACAAAGTAGGATCTGCATCGAGGTGATTTTCAATCTCGAGAAGCAGCGTACCGCGCCCCCCCATAGATAAAATGAGCAATACGCTGCGTGATGGTAGTGGCGGGACGAAGGCCGCCGTCATTGCGAAGACTGGCGAGGACGACGAAGACGAGGAGAGGAGAGAAAAATTTGCTGCGGCGGGGGCCTGTCGCCAGGCAGCAGACGAGAGACACCATGACTCGATGAATGGCAGACTCTAACTCGGTCATAGATGAGGGTGGAGGAACATCGAGATAGCTAGAGCTGACCGCCCCGTCATTCTCATCCTCAGCGTCAGATTCTGAATCACTGCCACCCCCATCGACATCGACCGAGGGCGTGGCAGCGGCAAGGAAAGGAGACGACAAAGGAGAAGAGCGCGATGCCAGTTGTCGTTTGTGGACGTCCAATAGATGACGGATGGCCGAAATCTGATCTGGCGAAAGATGGTAGGAAAACGATGGGGAATAGCCCGCAGGTGGCTCTACTTGACGGCAGAGGTTGAAGATCAGAGCCCACCACGTACGTCCATACCTGTCGCAGCTGTCTAAGGTGATATGATGAAAAGAGTTGAGGGACTCGCGGCTACAGCGTTAGGGTGAGACGAGACAAAACGAGCAGCACTCTGCTTACTGCATGCCGAAGTCTGCTAAGTCGCGCAGGGTGCCAAAAGCGTGATGGTGTGACATGACCAACTGGAAACGCCGCATAGACGAAACAACTACAGGACCAAGAGAATGCTGCGCATCTGCCGCGGTGGAAAGTCGGGTAAGCTCTTGGGCTTGCTGAGGGGTAACATGATCTATGATAGTGTTCCACTGCTCCCTGACTATGAAGTTGCTCTTCTTGCGCTCATCGAGGGGTGCGGAAGGACCTGCATCGTTATAGTTGGGGATTCCCAAGTCCAAACGACCAACGGCACTAGACAGTTCAGCGTCAGAGTGGCTAGTGAGGAGTGGCAGCTCGACGAGGAACCACGGTCGGTGTTGACCAGGCAAGAACTGTTGGGCGTAGCCAACACGGCCAGGTGCAAAAGAGGCGCCTCGGGAGCAGGAGTGGACACGCAGGCTGGCTTTAGAGGAGAATGCATGGAGACATCGAGCGCACTCATAGAAATGCGCCGACGAGAGGGCCAGACCAAATGCAGCAGAGGGAAGAGGCGAGCCAGGGGTGCAACAAAAGTGTGCAGCTCCGAGTGAGACACAAGGTGGAACTGAGAAACAAGATCGGGAACCATGGTTAGAGGAGGTGGTTCCGCAATACGAGGTAGGTGGCAACGAGTGATATGGTGATGGACTTGCTCGGGATCAAGCATGCTCTGACAATGTAGGCAGATGAAAATTTTGTGTGCTGTGTTGATGACCAGATCGTAGCGCAGCAAATCGTAACTCCCATGAGACGTGACGGTGCGTGAATCGGGGAAAAGTTTGTGGGAGGGGGGCCAGAGAGAGGGGGCGATGGAAGCGGCTGTGGCGGCGTCTGGGGGGGGGTACTAGGCGAAGCATCAGGAGATGACATGAGAACATCCGAACTGGTAAAGCGTCCAGGACACTGCCAGTCGCAGTGGTACTAAAGAGAGGGAAGCAGATTAGAAAAGAAAAAATACCAAAGTAAAGAGGAAGAACATGCCTGCAGGGTAACACCACGGTCTGTCCTGTAAGGGCACGCTGGACACTGAAAGGACCGATGATCTGTGTGTCGACGGACAGTGACAGGAACGTCTCTAAAAGTAGTGACGACGGCGACCGACATGGCAGCGCTGATCATGCAAAGACAAAGGTTCATCGACTAGAGAACAGCAGACTGGACAACTACGCTGGAGAGAGGACATGCCCAATGGAGCGAAAGCACATGGAGAGAGACAGAGAGAGAAGTAAAATGTGACACAGTCAACTACACGAAGTCAGTCACCAGTGGAGGCAGCGGCAAAGGCGGCAGCGGCAAAGGCGGCAGCCTCCGATGCCGCCAACCAAATGGCATTCTCTATGATCACCGAACGTCGTAAATCCTCTATCAAGGGCTTGAGGCAAGGACGAAGGGCAAGAAACGAGGTCTTGTCGATCCACCACATAGTAATGAGATGAAGGTTGACGAGTCCCAGTTCATGATGAACGGGGCGGACTGCCCACAAACGAAAAGCCGACAACTGGACCGAGTCCGATTGCAAGACCCAAAGTGGAAGGAGACAGGAAGCAGCGAGCGAGTAACGCGGCCAATGAGCTGAGACTAAAGTGGAAGAGAGACAACCCAGCAAATCCGAGTTGGAGCAGGAGCCGTCGACATGGCATCGAGCCCAATGACGCTAAAAATAATAAGAATAGCCCGCAGTGGGATTACGGAACAAAAACACTTACCGGAAGACAACCACAACGAGGACACCAACCTGGATGCACTGGAAGCATTGAGGGGCCGAACGAGAGGCAAGCTTGGTCGGCGAGCGGCGACCGGGGGCAGAGCGCCGAGGCATGTTTGCCATCAAAGCCCAAAAGGACACAAAGGCGGCACAAATAACGAGTCTGGCGAAACAACGTCATAAAAACGCGAGGGTATACAGCCAGCGACGCAGGGTAGGACCTCGGTGGTGTGAGACTGACAGGAGACCAATAGGCCTGGCAAAGCAAAGGTGTGTAGAACTGCGAATGAACTGGGTAGACGAACCGTTGCGGACTTGAAGGAGAAGATAAGCGGTCGGAGGACAAGGCAGATGGGTCAATGCATTGCGCGGGCGAAGAGGAAGATGGGCAAAACCTAAAATCCGCCTTGTAGCTGGCGAGAAGTCCTACAAGAGACACGACTCACGCATCCGAAGTCGGCATCGTAAATGCAAGCAAGAGGCAGGAATGAGGGTCACGCGAGATTGATTATAAAAAACACGAATGTTTATAAACTATGACGGCATTACAGAACTATAGGCGGCACGGTCGGCCTGCTTAGTGCGATTGAATAAGTCGACAACGAGCTCACGAAGAGAATCGGGAAGATTAACGACAGGGACACGAGTACTGAACCAATACATGGCAAGGACATGAAAGTTCATCAGGTTTCCGAGGTGATGAGGGGACTGGTGTTTCGGCCCAACGACAGAACGCCCCAAAACCAGGGACAGGGTCATGGAGAACAGCGGAAGGGACTAGGCCAGTGGTGATCAGGTGAGGCTGCGGTTGAGGGTCCAACATGACTATGTAAAGCCAAGGTTTGAGGATACGGGAATTGGGACACTTTTTGCCGTAGGATCCAGAATGCCAGCCGTCTTTACGTCCCTGAAAAGATATTGAGAAAGGGGAAGGCGGCGAATAAGGACGTACATCGGCAGTAGCGATCCAGCACATGAAACACCAAGTGCCGCGGTCAGGAAGCTGAAGGTTAATGCCATTCTTGGAGAACTTGTTGTAAGTATTGTCGACTCGGGATTCCGCAAGTCCAGAGGGGCAGTCAGAAGTGGAATGGCCAGCGGTGACACCTCGGGTGAAACAGACAATGCACTTGTCGCGGGCGGCGGAGAAGAGATCGTCGAAAAAAACCTCGGCATACTCGCGACGATAAGCACTGGCGGCACCGCCACGCAGAGGAAGGTTCGAGGCGACACGAGCATAATCAGCGCTAAGAGAAAAGGGGTAAGGCAACAAAGAGGAACATGAGCGGACGATACCCTAGAACCTCGCCGACGGTCCTGCGAAGTACAGGCGTCAACAGGAAAAAAGAGAAAAAAGAAATGAAAACCAACTGGTGCAAGGATGGCGGTCCGACCGGAGGAGACGAACTACAAGAGGGTTAGGGGTGAGAACGAGTGGCAAGAGGCAGACGTACGAAGGGGGAGAAACGACAGAGCTGGGGAGGAGAAGGGAAGTTCGTCGCTAACAAACGCGTGAGACGAACAAACAGGCAAAATGGAACAGCGGACGTTGAACAAGAGAGCAGGGGTTGATGGCAAGTAACGCAGCATTCTGAACGAGGGCGCTGGGAGAGGCATGGGACCAGTGGTACTGGCAAACCAAACGCGTCAGCAGCGGCACGGGCGAGACGGTGGACACCAACTCTGTAGAAGGAGAACTGGAACGTTTCGACATGGTGGCAGAAAGAGAGGAAACGAGAGTAAAAGTGCGGACGATGACACGCTTATATACGAGAAGTCGAGATGCAATGACATCACTAGGGAATTCCCCAGCAACTTGATGATGGTGACGGCAGCGGCAGCGGCAGCGGCAGCGGCGATGGTCACATGGGTGAATAATCAAAAGAGAAAAACATATATTTTGTCCTCCAAAGACAAGGAAAAAAAAAAATAATAACAAGGCATGCGACTGAAAGTTCAAAAATGCGCGTCAAGCTCACTAAACACAGATGCATGTCAGAAAGGGATAAAATACTAAAGAAGAGACACTGACAACTTTGCCTTAGTAACAGGAACACTGGACGAAGTGCGCGCCGCATTGGAATAGTCAGACACGTCGCTCGAAAAAATTGTTTTGCCTTCCATAGAAATCATATCCATAAAGTCAAAGGGGTTGGGGACGCAGTAGACCTTTTCGTTGCCGAGGGCGACAAGGAGGCGGTCAGCGACAAATTCGACGTAGCGGCTCATCAACTTTTCGTTCATTCCCAAGAGTCGGTTGGCTAAGGCGTCGGCAAGAAAAGCTTTTTCGACATCTACAGCATCTGTGATGATAGTCTGGATGACGGAAGGAGGAGGCCGAGACTGCAAGTGCCCAAAAAGCAGACAAGCAAAGTCGGTGTGAAGGCCTTCATCTCGACTGATGAATTCATTGGAGGTGGCCAAACCCGGCATAAGACCACGCTTCCTTGAGCCAGAAAATGGCAGCAAACGAGCTCGAAAAGAAAATGCCCACGGGCGGCAAAAGCGACAAGGCGCACGGCAAACGAAGAATGGGGGTCTTGGATCCAACGGAGGGCCCATTCAGCCTTACGCTGCACGCAGGGAATAGTTTCGATGGCACGGAAGAGGCGTACACGTTCCTGAGCATCTTGGATGTAGGTGTCGATAAGCAGCGCCGTAAACTTCAGAATGTACATTTTCCATCATGGCCTGGAAAGCGTAAAAGCAACGGGCTTCTGGCAGCTGCACCTCGCGAGAAAACCGCTCGAGTAAGTTGTCGTTGACGATGGTGTCGGAAGCCGCGAAGAAGGCCAAAATGTGGGAGATGAAGTCGCGCTCGTCGCCAGTAAGTTTGTAGCGCCAATGCTCTAAGTCCCTGGAAAAGTCGAGCTCCTCGGCAATCCAGAAGGAACTCTGTGCTTTCTTGTAGAACGCCCATATCTGTGGGGTGTGATGAACAGCGGACATCGAGAAGGGCCACGACGCACATCAGGATACTTGATAGGGAAGAAAAAAAGGCGGTCGGAGGACGCGCTCAACACGGGATCCAGCACAGGTGAACTGAAGCTCGACGGTGGAGCGGCAGCGGCCATGGAGGAAGCGGGCACAGATTGGCAGACGGCAAGCTAAGAGAGGGAATGTATGTAAGCAAGTATATATAATGTATATGGTCACACGAAATACATGGCAAGGTAAGCAACGGCAATAGACGACGGCTAAGATGATCACCAGAGAAGGACCCCGTGTTCTAACACTGCAACCGCTGGAGATCCTAGACGGACTAGGGCCCACACAAACAACCACACGAGACGGGTACGACGATGATGTGGGGTGTCCGAGATTCCTGGGGGAGCATGACGAATGCACTCGGCGGCAGCGACTCGGTCCGCCATTGCCCGGAGTAATCCAACGGAAAAACGGCCGAAAAAGTTGGGAAACATCCGGTGGTGTCAACGTGGTACTTGAGCAGGGCAGAAAAGTTTTCTTCAGTGGGAAAATAGAAGGGGAAGGCAACATCATAATAGTGACGATGAAGGAAAGACACTAGTGACATGTGTTGACGTTGCTCGTGGACTGAGGGCGCAGGGAATATGTTGTCGACTAGGAGTACCCGGCCTTCGAATGCTTCGATAATATGCCCGATGATGACGACGACAGTCTGGCCTGCAACGGGCTGAAAAGTGGCATCGGGAGTTCCGGGACGGTATAAACAATCAACAACGGCAGTGCCGTCTGTCACTGAAAAGTACTCATGAAGTAGGGGCTAAAAAGAAAAAGAGACGAGAGATGGCGAACCTGAGTAGCGGATGAGGCTGCTGCGGGGGATGGCGGCGTTGACGCAACCAACGATCCTAACTGTTCGACAAGGTACCCTGCCTACCCAATGGAAGAGAGGAGGCTGAGCTACGGCCGGAGTGAACTCGGATGCGAAGGCGGTAGCCGACAGACGCACGATTCTTACGAGCCCGGAAAATGTCGCACACAAACAATGGGGCCACGGACTCTGGCAGTCGTGTCCATTCAAAAAGCGATGGTGGAGGAAAGAAAGGCATAGAAGATCACATGCTACCTATGCTAACATTCATTTAAATAGGCCGGGGGCAGAGTAATGAGGCGAAGACATGCCGACAGAAGCAGCGGCAGCAGGATCGGCGGCGGCGGCAGCGGCATCGGCGGCATCGGCGGCGGCAGCGGAAGCGGCAATAGCTGAAGGCAAAAGGACAAGTAAAAAATCGTCACTCTCTGGGTCCTGGGGTTGGTGTGCGAGAGTATCTAGCTGGACTAGCTTGCGAACGGCCCAGACGAACAAGCGGCGAACCCTGGCCTCCTGGGCTAGAGGAGGGCCAAACGAAGAAGTGCGGCGCGCCCACTCAGCTGCAGCAACGCGGTCGGCCATCGCACTGAGTCTACCAACAGCGCGGACGCGTCCAAGAGTAGGGGTAAGATCGGAGGCGGCAATGTAGGAGCAAAGGAGAGCGAGGAAATTGTCGGGGGTCGGCAAACTAAAAGGCGAAGATAGGTGGTAATAGTACTTTGTTAAGTGAATTGCATGGATCAAATGGGTGGGCTCTTCATTAGGAGAAGAGCAACGGGCTAGGAGGTGTGAGAAGGGCAAGAATGACCGGTAAAGGAAAGGCAGACTGAGGGAGTGAACTCGAAGAGTAACACCACGAGGGCCTGTGAGAATCCGACCGACAACTACGGCTTGGTTGCCTACGGACACAAGAGCGGGGAAGGGAACGGGGTCAGAGTCGGGGCGATGAACCGACTCGACAACGCCAGTGCCGTCATCGACTGAGGGGAAGGATAAGGCGTAGTGGCGGGGAGTAAAAAGTAGAACGGGCCATAATAAATCACTCCATATTCACGTTCCTCTACGCCGACTATCAAACCGGCGATGCGAGCGGTACGGCAAGGTACACGCCCAATCCAATGGTAGAACGGAGGGTCCTCTAGAGGCCTGGCGTAAGTCGGAGAAGACGCCCAAAGCGCGTGGACGCACCATTGCGGGCGCGCACGGAGAAGATCATAAGCGAGCACAGGGTGCCACCGACTCAATGCGCTTGGTCCAAGATGTCCAGAGGGATGAAGTAGAGGACATGGCAAAGACATCTGAGGTGTGACTGAGTGACCTGCCATTGTGGGTGTGGGCGGCGGCTGCGCCGCCGCCAATGAGGCCCCGAGGCGAGGGCGGCTGCCGCCTACACGTGACTTTGACAGGTCACGGGGTACCGAACATGTTCGGTACCACGTGAGTTTGACAGATCACGGGGTACCGAACATGTTGCGCACGTGCCTTTGACAGGTCACGGGGTACCGAACATGTTCGGTACCCTGTGACTTTGACAGCTTGGTAATCCACTGCCCCCCTTGGATTAAGCCCCCCCTCCCGGGAGCGGAATAATCCTAGCCTTCACTATATTAGGCAGCTTGATAAACAGCAGCAGTAGTTATTTACACATAAATGGTTCAAGGAAAAACACTAAATTATAGCAAATTCAAGAGAACTGAGACCCAAGAGAACCCTACTTGGAATAATACCATAATATACAAACCAACTACTAGTACCATATTTATCAGCCATCTCAATATCATAAACTAAAACAGCAGTCAAGCATTAATCAGTCCATTTAAATCAAATGTAAGGATAGATGGTTACCTCATATTTGACAATAAGAATAATAATAATTAGTGGAAGAGAATGCCCACTATATTGATGTCATGGGCATGGACAACCATGATCATAGTGGCACTGTCCTGTTTTCAAATGTATACACAGCGCAGTTGAGTACAACCTTAGAATAGCCCTGCCTCTTTGAAATTACAGTTCTACCATTAACTAGCCTTGGTGAAGTCCATAGATTTCTTTGCAGAGGAACTGCTAATCATCCTCTGGAAGTGGTACAATGACAAATGTGGCCTTGACATTGATCTGCTAAAGAACCATGCAATCTGCAGTACCCAGAATGGAATGCTTCAAGGCAAGTAATCTGACATAAAGGAATTGCAGAGGAGAGACAAAAGTGGTGGCGGTGTGTGCATATAATGACAAAGACGAGTAAGTGGCAAGCTGTTAAGTGCCGCCGCAGGAACCGAAAGGAAGTAACGGAAAGTCCGAAGCAAAACCGAGTGGCTATCACAACACTATATCGGAGTGAGCGACTACACGTCTTGCAGGCCGAAAGTAAGTTTGAACAAATATGTAAACTCCTGCGGATACGTTCGGAGAAGCCGAAGGCGATAAGGCTAAGAACGCAGAGGGAGTCGGATGAGAGCGGAGAGCGAGCAGGAAAACGTTAATAACAAAACTGAAGTACAGGATCGTCGAGTCCGAGTATTTATACTAAGTGGTAGGCATAAGGCATATGACCTCGCAGGGAGATCCGATGTGGTCCACAGGATCTCCCTGCGGGTTAAGTACAAAGGCATAGTAAGTAAGGGGAACGAGAAGACATACATGTGTCAAAGGAAACAAGGTGAACGCCTAACGGATATAAGTAAACAAACCAAAGTCCAAATGGGTAAAGATCCGAGTTGATGGGCGGAGGGTCCGAACAGGTCCGAGGGAGTCTGCGTGCAGATTAACTGTTTGAAGGGAAACGCTCAGATACCTTCACTGCGTAAAAACCCTGTTGCGCTCCAAGGATAACCCTCGGAGCGTCCAAAGATGCACGGGATATAACACAAGCCGTAGTCATAGACGTCAATGCAAGGATTGAGGTAATGGGAAAATGTAGTATTGCACCCAGCAAGATGTGGTGAGAAGATAGGGGAACTGGATGGAAAACGGTGAGGCTGTGGAACAGCTTAAGGTCCATTTATATGTCTGAGTCTGTTGCTTGAATCTGCAGATCAAAGCAGATATAGGCCTATAATATACATGATACTACAGGCTGAAATTGGAAATTAAAGTAAATAATGCATAGACAATGAAGAGCAAAAAAATATACCACCAATGTGTCAAGTCAAAGCTGATATAAATGATAATTGCTGGCAAAACACATACTAGAGTTCATTATTCTTGAGTGCCATTTAGGTACTCACACTGGCTGCTACCTAATGAGTCTATCTCAAGCCAAAAATAAATATGTTGACCTGTAGTATACTAGTGGTAGAGCAGTTAATCGTTATCTAGTCTTTTCCTGTATATATTTGTCAGCCTGATTATAAGCAGAACGACTGGATGCTATAAGAGAGAGAAAAAAAATACTGATAATTCACTTGATAGGAATAGATTATCTCTGTGCCAACTTGGCTGCAGGCCTGTTACAAGCATTCAGATGACCTGGTAGGTTACTTTCAACTGTATGGTATATGGGCCCTGGAAAGTACAAATTGGTCTAAATATATAAATGGTAATGCACACTGAAATTGGCAAAGAGATATTATAGCAAATTGTGCTAACCAGGCAAATGTGGCTACTGCCATGGCAGAGTTACCTAACTGCATGGAATACGTGCTTTAGTCATGTCTGGTGATTTGCCACCGTCTCCTGAATAAGTACTAGTGTATTAAATATCAATGAGCAATGTGCAATAAAGTGTTGCATTATAAATTCACTAAAACACTAGGGATTACCCCGGGCTCTGTCAGCAATGTCACATGTGACCCTCTCATGATCATATCTGAGGTGTCTTCCCCAAAAAGGAAACAGAAACTAAGCACTTAATATACCAAAATAATGTCTCCAAATATAATAGAGCAAGACCCACAAGAGCAAATGAGGTGACACGGGATGTGACGGATGTTGGTGGAAGGGTCGGAATATTCATTTCAGACATCCTGAGACAATTTGGATGATTTCTAATGCTTGGTCATAAGACCGGTTAGCATTATTAAAATGTGGTTATGAATGCTTATACTAGGGCAACAGAGCGCCATATGATCGAATGAGAAATTCTGTAAACAAACGGAACATATCTGAGCCCTTCTACCCAAAAGTGAATGCTTGACTGTGCAGAATAAATTCAGGAAATATAATAGAGCAGTTTCACTATAGTATTGAGCAGCAGCAGGGTTACGGTGCCACAACAGAGAGCAATGTGACCATACAAAAAATGGAGGATGTTCAGGGATGGTATCTGAGCTCTGT